AACCATTGGGTTAAATGAAGGTGTGTACCAAATGATTTTTCTGTTTCTATTTTTTATTTCTTATAAGAATAAAAACAGAAACAGAAAAATCATTTGGTAAGAAATATAAAGGCAAAACAGACCCCCCCCCGTTAACGTAAGACTGCAAGAACATCGTAAAGTGGTAACATGAGAAGAAATAAAAAGTCAGACGTAGCTGACCACATATGGTGGGAAAAGGGAGACCACTGCCCCCTGTGGGGTGAGATTGAAATAATAGTCAGAGAACAACACTGGAAAATACGAAAACTTAAGGAATCAGCACTTATGCTAGGCTACAAAAATCTGCTGAGTCAACCAAGTATAGAAATTACAATATGGGAACCAGTAATAAGGAGTGCTAGAGAAAAATTATGAATAACAACACAAAAAATTGCAATATATGCTCTGGTAAAAAAATATGCAATAATAATAACAGAAAAATTGCAATATGAGCACTGGTAAAAAAAAAAAGGTTGCTAAGACATTAGGTTTATAAGTCTCAGAAATTCATATGCAGATGTCCTCAAGGACCTCATGGTCAAGTGGATAAAGATGTTGGTTAAATTCAGTGACTAGAGTTCAATACTAGACTACAACAGTGGCAAATGAAAAAACTTGGAGAGTTGAGTTAAAGGGGAAATAACATCCAAAAGAGGCATGGCCTGTGGGACTAGAATCTACCCTTGTGGACAAAGGGGTCCAGTTCAAAATTCCAATCACCTGAAGAAGGCCAGAGTGTACAATGGCCAAAATATTGCGAATATGGTAATGAGAATAACAGTTCAAATAATGTAATTAAGCCATAAATTGGCAGAAAAATAACAAAGTTGCTCACTTTGAAAGATTTACCAAACAACTCTTGTGCTAACCTGCATCTAATAAATAATCCAAGCCTCATTTTTTACGAGAGATTTACCATCTGAGTGTTTGAAACTATATTAAGTCTAAGAAACTTTACCTCTGTAAATAAAAGGAATGGTTTGTTGGATCTAAATATAATTTGTGATTCTCTTGTAGTGTTTTCATCTTCTCCATCAACCTCCCACTGCTTTAGTCAATCTGCACATCTGTTTTGTCCTTGATTGAGCTCTGAAGAGTGAGGAGCAATAAACAGCCTCTTTATTGTTGTTTCTATTTTATTTTTCAATTTATATTAATATTTTTTCTTATCCTTGCTCTTCCCCCTACCTCTTTTAATATATTTGCATATATACTTTTAAAAAGTGCGTTTTTTAAGCCATAATACAAGATATTTGTATTAAATTTTTTTTTAATTATTAACACCCACCATCCCAAAAATTGAATGGTGAAGATTAATAGGTTATAGACAGGTATCTATAATACCAGAATTTTTTAACCAATAATATTGCAGATTATTTTGAGAAATCTATAATCAATATTATATTTTAATTTCACATTTCATTAGTTTCTTAAATAATTAATAATGAGCAAGGAGGAAGAAATAAAAAATAGTGTTTAACGACAAGTAAAAGAATGTGAATTTATCTCCAGACAAGTGTAGGATTTGACACATGCTCAGTTTAATATAGGTTGTCCATAAAAGTATGTGTGGGCAAGGACAAAAACAGTGTGATAGGCATCAGAAAACTCATACACCCTCCCCTTTGTATAGTGGGGAAGGTTCACTCTCCGGATTGAATCTCCTGCTGATGAGACTAGCTTCATGTTTTAACATATCCTACTCAAAGACAAGAACACAACCGAGGGGAGGAAGAAACACTATATTAACTGCAGTCCTTAAATTTATATTTCTTTATATTTAGCCATAAAAAATAAATAGCATTAAAGAATTTTTTTAAAATTTAAGACATAAAACCTTGATTTGAACAAAATGTTTTCCTCTCTCAAAAAGAGAGGAGAGACAACCATAGTTAGATTCAAATCAGAATAGGAAAAAAAAGCAACCAAATCAAATCCACATGGCAATGCCTCATAGAATCAAAGAGGTTAAGATTTAGTTTCAGTTCCGTTATTGGAGATAGTTGTGAACTCACCAAACCAGACTCGAGAGATTAAAAACCCATTGAACTAAAGCATAGATCAAAAATCCTATTATTTGCAGAATATTTGCTGACACCAAATGTGCACCTCAACCAGAAATAAAGTTATCTTTCATTCTAAACTCACAAACATGTGAATAGAAAATTTGAAGAGATTTTTGTGATTGTGTATTTTAAATCCTACACCAAATCTTCAAATGGCATGGAAAACAAAAATGTTATCGTAAATCAATTATTGCTTAAAAGAAGAAAATAAAAAAAAAAGTTAATATCTGATTGCCCAACACACAAATGTACAAGTTAGTTCTCTGTGTCGTGCCAGACAATTTTTCTCATTAGAATCCATCTTGCATATTTATATATCCACCATTCATCCATGCATGGAATATTGCTGCTGCCATATCTAGTCTGGTGCACATGCTATCTTTTGTAAGATTCTCAACAAAATCCAAAGAAATGTCTGTAATGTTATCAGTCCTGACCTGGCATCTTCACTTCTGTCACATTTTCAGTCAAAATTTGTTTCCAAATAGGTTCTAATCTAGCATCTGTCTGTGTGTCCCTCCTTTTGTCATACTGAGGTGCTACTTTTGAAAGTCCAGTGCTATTAAATTTAGAATCTCATAACTTTTAACTTTTGGGCCTACTTTTCAAATAAGCTGCGCTTACTTGGATTGCTAATGGAAAGGAAGCCAATTCAACATTTAGTAACAATGGGATTTTTCAAATATAGCTCTACCTGTTGCTTCATTTGGCTGTAATGAAGTTCTAATTATAACCTAATTTAGCTTCTTTTTCTGGGTGCCATGTTCTTTCAGGATTGAAGGGATCATGGCTTTCCACAAGTTCCTGCTTTTTGTAACTTGTAAGTTTTGTCTTTTTCTTATCTTTTAATCCCTGTTCTGCCAACACAGTCTCTTTAGGTTGGTTATTTGCTACATTCCTAATTTGGTTACTCCAGATACTCCAATTATGTAGAACAAATTTTTGCATAATTATTTTTGTATGATTTTTATGTCATTTTTTGTGTGTTGGAGGGATTAGGTCTTATATGCTATTATTAAAAATCTGAAGAAGAAAATACGCACATTTGGACCTGGTCATCATTGAACAAATGAATTCAATAGACTTGGCCTAACACCCATACATGAAGTGAAGAGTCTATAAAACAAAGAGGTTGACAAAAGTTAAAGCTCACCTTTTTTAAAGTTTTAATCAATTATTTTTTATGTATATTCTATTCTTTACTTTTGTGGACCATTTTCCTCTTAACTATTTTGGAACTGATTAAAGGTAAAACCTATAAATATCTTAAGCCTTTTTTTCATTGAATCAAAAACATTCTTGTTTTTTTTTCTATGATCACATTGAATAAAATTTTATTTAAACTTCATTTTCACACAAATTTACTTTTGTTAATTTTGCAACATGACCTTCAACTTGGAAAAAAACAAGTCAGCCAATTACCAAAATTATGTCATTTTGGACTACTTATAATTTTTTTAACATTTTTGTTAGGAATTTTCTGAATTATTTAAAAAAAATACATTCCACTAAAAAAACTGATAAAAATCCCACTATTGAAGTCAGGATACAATGCAGGATTCTGTGAAAAAATTCATTTTCTAATAAATCTAAAAAATGACTCACCAATTTTTACATTCATATCAATTCCAAAACAAATTTAGATTTCATTAAATCCAAAAGTCTGCAAAGTATCACAAAAAAACAACTTTCAGAAGAATAGAAAACAGGGCGAGAAAAACAAATTCCATAATACAAGGTACGTCTGTAAATGATCCAAGCTATTTAGCCTAAGTAGAGCAAGAGAATCTTAATTCTCTTCTTCGTCTCACAAAAACACATATCCCAGCATCACTTCTATAATTTAAAATGTCAGAGACCTCTTCTTAATCTCACTCACAGTCTAAACTTGTCTCCCTTCCCATAGGGATTTTAGCTTTTAAAGAAATCAAAACTGGATTGAAGGGAATTGGCAGTCCAAGGTAAAGCAATGATTTATAACAAAACTTCATAAGACATGAAGAATTTACTTACATGTTCATTGTGAATGCAAATCACACAGTAGAAAAAGTGTTTACTCAATGGCATCCTCTTGTTGACTGAAAACCAAACTGGAGAGGGGGGGGACAGTTCACAAATTACATCACAGCTGTTCATTTGACTTTTGTTATATTCAAAATGGCTGAATGCTTTCTGAACAAATCTAATAAATTGAAACTTATCACTGAACCATATTCCAAATCAGATTTGGATTCATCAAATCCAAAAAAGATTATAGGTTTTTATTCAGCTTATTGTAGTCTGGCATGCTACACCAATAATAAACTTTGAAATTATCTTGCTACCCATTACTCTACAGCAGTGGTTCTCAAATGGTGTGGCATACCTCATAGGTACATCAGAAAATGATAGCAGGTGAAGCAGAAGGATTGAAAGACAATCAAAGATTTAGAAACAGTTTCAAAAAATTCATATGCCAAAAATAAATATGATTTCAAAATTTCAAATATTATAGATTACTTGTAATTGCATGCACAAGTTTCCATATATAATAGTTATAAATAATTATTGACTGATTTTATCATTGTAATATTTTTGCATTATATCAATTATTAAGAATATAGTAACTAGTGTCTGCAAATTGGAGGAGAGAGTTATCAATTGTAATGTTATGACTTTGAATCTGCAGTTATCTCCCTTTAACCGTCTCTGTTTTTTTTATTTTTAAATGTAATTTATCATATAAAATTTGGTGAGGTGCAAGCAAATTCATTCTGAAAATGCAGTCCAGAAGAAAAAGTTTGGGAACTACTGCTCTACAGCAACGTGACAAGTTTATTAAAGGCTAATTGACAATTTTTGTCTTTATTAAAAAAACAGACTGAGAGGACAGATTTCACAATTAAACATCTTAATGAAAACAATGAGTTTCTCCTAGAGAACACTTGCTTCAAAAACATGCAGACTTCCTTCACTGTCTGCAGATAACATAAGTCCATGTTTGGTTGGATGCCAACCATGATACGTAACTTGGTTAACTTCTGGCTGTTTGCAGCAAACTTGGTGTCCATCATGTACAAAAATGGGTTCTACTTTATCAGGATCTTCAGCTTTCTTCCATTGGCCGCTGTCATAAATCTGGATGATGTTTCCAAATCCTTCAAGCAGAAAAATAATGGAAAAATTTAGTGTTGTATTGCGGCATGCCTAAATGTAAAAATACAAAAATATTTTTAAAAATTAAAATTAAAATAAGGTATTTGTTTTTCTTAAAAACCCATATCTCCTTTTTTCTCTCTCTCTCTATACTTCTCTCTTAAATAAGAGAATGTAACTCTCACATAAAAAGAGGAAGAAAAAATTGAACTTCTGCCAAACAAAATTTGTTAGTCCAGGGTCTAATTATTGTGACCAGAAATCAACCAAAACAAGAAAGCTACACACATAACTTCCGCTATTAAAAAAAAAACAAAGAATAGTATGCCAGAAAATAAATAAAAGAATTTTGGCCAATCAAAAGAATAAAGAGATATTTGATGTTAGCCAAAACAAGATTCACACCAAGTACTATTGAGCCTTTCAAAATTGTATATAAAGAGACAGCCAAGTGACAGCATGAACCACTTCAGCTATGGGTTAAATAAGAAGGTAGACTGGGTTCTCTAGCCTTGGGTGGTGGCTAGTCTAAAAAAAGAAAAACTCTGAATTCCAAACCATAGATAAGTCAATAGGAAACTGTTCTACTATCTTTCCCAAGAAGTGTTGCATAGAAAGACTGTCTAACCTGCTCTACACTATTATTGAAACATGGACTCACCCATCCACTATAAGTATGTCTGCTCATAGAACAGTGGCAAAATGTGGGTCGTTAAGGCATGGTGCTTTCAGTCACATTGAACTACTGTATTCTCAATCTACATTCTCCTGTGATTAAACCTTTCTTCTATCAACCTTTTGTTTCCAGTGTTTTCCTTAATCTTACTAACCAGCAACTTTGAGCATTATACAAACTTTATAACAATGAGACATGGCAATTCAAGCACATAAAAGAAAAGGAAATTGTAGAGAGCTATGACTGCTTACATCCTGAAGTGTCATGTTATTTTTCTTTTCATAGAAAGGTGAACCTTTATAAATTTGTAAAATATCCTGACCCTGACTTAACTCATTAATTGAAGATGACATTACTTTCAGCCCTTGCACTCTTATAGATCAACTGTAAATGACAAAAATTTCTATCATTTATGCACATACCTAACTCGGACTGCTTGTGAAACCTGACAATTATCATTTTATTATGACTGATAGAAATTCAATTCCATCTGTGAGTCATGATATCAAATAAAAACTCCTTCCACTAACCTAGTGATTCTCAACCCTGAAATGTAGCCATGTGTGTCCCAAATTCGCAAAGGAGTAATTTATGAATTATTTTTATGTTTAAAAACAATTTTTATTTTTAAAAAGCTAGAGACACCAAGCACATGGCTACCATGTCTAAGTCAAGTTTATGTCATTTGATATTTTAAACTGGATGTTAAATTCTTTAATCTTTAAGGAGTGAATAATCTATTTCCTTTTGCCTTCCTCAAGGGATTTAAATCACTCATTATCAGCCTCCCTAAAAAAATAGCATAAATCCCTATAAATGGAAAGAGTACCACTAATCTTTTGGGGGAAATGCTAAAGCAAACATGACAACCATTAAAATTAACATTTTTCTTTACCAAAGCACATCAAGCACAGATTTCATACCAGCTGACTTAAATATACAATGTAATGTTTTAAAAATAAATGCTTATTTCAGGAGACTTCTTTATTATTTTCCTGTTTTCAAATTTCAGGATTTTTTTCTTACTAAAATGTAAAGTGCACCCCAAAGTTTTAAAATGTGCCCTGAAGTAAAAAACAAAAGCTTGAGAAAGACTGCTCTAACCAATCAGTGCTTAGAAGTTATTTATTCTGAAGAGCCATTTCAATTTTTTTCTCTTTTCTTAAAGAACATCATTTACAAACAATGCTCTTCCTAAAGTAGAAAAAAAATCGAAGAGATCTTTTTCTTTAACCCTACAGTTGTGAAACTAAAGGAAAACAAAAGAAAATGTTCGTAAAGAGTGATAATGAATGGATTATAAATTATACCATGATTTGAAATTCATCATAGAAGAGTGGATTTTTAAAAATATTTTTAGATTTTAGTTTCACTCAAAACCATGTTCTTTAGAATGTTTTCCTTTCTTTTTTTCCAAACTATTTAAAATTATTTTCAATGAAAAAAATGAAGAAAAAAAAACTAGAGGCAGCAGAAATGTGGTTCTACAGAAGGATACTGAGAATCCCATTGACAGAGCAAGTAAGTAACAGGGAAGGCTTAAAGTAAATGGCAACAGAAAGAACACTTCTGCTTTTGTTGTAGAGTAGTTTTCACAGTGGAGGCTTGTATTTCAATAAGTCATCCTAAATTAGGTTCAACGTACAAAACGTTATGAACTTGAAATAAGTGTTAATGACGCAGCAATCTAGTTGTGATGGTTGATACTTCAATGTCCGACAGACTCACTCAACACCACTGAGCCCAACTGGCCACTGCTACTACTACTTATTATCTGTGGGAGAGTCTATTACAATAGAATAGGTATTATGGTATAACAGCTTCAAAATCAGGAAGAGACAAATGAAATTTCTTGAACACATAGTGAGGAAGGAGGGCTTGGAAAACTTAATCCTCACAAAACATACTGAGGGTAAGTGAGACAGGGGAAGGCAACAATCTTCTTCCCTGATGGGCTTCTGTGAATAGATGACAGGATGGGGTTGGAGTTTTTAGTAAAGATAAAAAAACAAAAAAACTAAGAGCCATATGAGATAGAAAGTTGTAGAGAGCCATGTTTAGCTATCTCCTGAAGGGATGAAGCAAATAAAGAAGAAGAAAAATTGTCATGAAAATTAAAGTTACTGCTGAATTCAGAAAGCAACAAGTAAGCTTCCCCACCTACACTAACACAGTTAATGGATTAATTATATTAACATGTAATTCTGTACAGGTTTCCAATTTTTTTTTTTTTTTTGTTTTTTTGCACCCGCTATGGTTTCATCAATATTTCTCTAGCAGCTTTTATCTCATTCATGATTCTCCATAGTTGAGAAAGAAGGCCTAAAAAGTAAAAAGGCAGAATGATATTTATCACACATTTGGGAGGTCAAAAGTTATAATTTAAGAATTAATAGCAATTTCCTCACAAGGACAAATGTCAAATGGGCTTGATTTGGTTAATTTTCTTTCTTTGCAGACAAATGAATACAGACATACTAAAAGACAGAGACAATCTTCTGCATGTCTGCATGTATACAACATCATCTCAAACCCAGCAGCAAAAAAATGAAATACCCCAAATTAATGGCCATGCAAAGGGAACAGTTCAATTTTTAAACTCCTCTTAGTACAGTGCAGTGTTTGAACATCCAACAAAATGGTTTTCATTAATACTTAGCAAATGGCAATTCAGATTTTCATGCTTATTCAAGCAGCTTTCTAAATAACTTTTCTCAAGTAATTATAAGGAGTTTTGAATTTTTGGTGTTATATTTGTACAAATTACAAGTAGTTTTATTTATTTACTGAACATAAAACGGAACCTATTTTTGCATATTTGATTTTAGAAATTTACATATCCATTTGTTAATATTTATTTTTAATTAAATTCTTCAAAATAAAACCCTACATTTGTTTTAAAATTTTATTTACCCTATAAAAACCAAAAAGAATGCTTAAGTCAATAAAAAGAAAATTAAGAACTGAATGACATATGAATTTTAAATAAGGTGTTTGAGAACCACTGACACTATTTCTGTAACAATGACACACACACAACAGAAGATTAATTAGGAAAGGGACTATTGGGTTCATGTTATTTATTCATGTTAGTGACATGTTGACATTTTTGTTGTACACCTTATCATAATTAAAGATGAATTCTGACACTTGTCAAAAATACAACAGTACATTTACATATGGGATTTCTTTCTTATGTCTCATTACCAACAGAATAGGAATTAAATGCTTATCAGCCAACATCCAAAGAAACATTTCAATAATTTATTTGGATGAAATTTTACTAGTTTTATTTTAGAAATATTAAAACAAATCATGATAAAAGTGGAAAAACTACAGCTTAATCACGCCAGATAAAAATGGGATAAAAATTCTCATTTTAACTTTTTTTACACACTTCTACTTATAAAACGTACATCATGTTTGGTTCCCAGGAGGAATAAATGAGAAAAAAAATTCAAAATATTTTAAATGCCAAAATAATTTGACACAGGAAAGTTCAATTATGCAAAAGAAAAATATTAGTAAAATAAATTTAAATACAATTTTTAATGTAGAATAAATTTTAGGTTTTTTAATAAAAACTTTTGTGTGAAAATGCTTTTTTTCAGGAAACTTCAAATAAAAGTTTCTTATTTTTTTTAAGATAAATAAAGATGAAAATCCATTTTGAAAGCTATAAAAATTTTAAGAAATACATGAATTTTGTAGAAACAAATTTAAGTTTCATAAAAAGAATGTTTACTTTTTTAAGTTTTGGTTATTGAAAAGAAGATTTAGTTTTGCTTGCATAATATGCTACATAAACAAAAATAAATTTTTTTAATAACCAAAACTAAAAAATGATTTTATGGATTAAAACTATTATAAAAACAAATTGTTATAATTTAACTGCCTCACCATGAGGACAATTTGTGATACAAGGTCAATTTTTCTGTTAAGAAATCAAATGTGAGATTGTGGGAATTACATACATTCATTTTTTTTTAATTTTTTATAAATTAAAAAAAAATAAAAAAAATTGTCTTAGAAGAGAGTCCCACAGAACAATATAAATTCATTTTGTGCTTAGACTACATAATTTTGATTATAATAATTAAATTAATTTATTAAATGGGTAAATTAACATTGTTTAAAAAGAAATTAAAAATAAAAATTTTATTTTGAACTGAAACAGATCTTAAACTAGCAAACTTTATGGAAAATTAGAAAACTGAGTAGAAACTTGCACATTTAATTTTGTTTTTTTTTTACACAAAATAAATTGATATCATACCTAACTTACATGTTATATTGATCTATATATTTTAGTTTTGTTGATAGTTTAAAATCAGTGAATATTTATATATTTTTTATCATTAGTACCGGGAATAGAAAATTAATTTTTAAATGAAAAAAAAATACAAAGAATCATTTTTGGAATCAGAACTTAGGTTAGAAATTCTTCAATTCTGATGCTGATTCCTATACCCCAAAAAGTTCCAATATTTCCGATTCTCAATTCCAATTAATCGTCTCATCACTAGTGACCGCTTGAGAATACCAAGTGCTTGGATGTGCATTGCGATGTCATGGATAACAGCTCAGAATTAGAAATTTGAAGAGCAGAGTTCCAATTCCAGTTGAGTTTGTTATATTCACTTACGTGCAAATACCCCCTTGGAAAGGAATGAATCCACCTCTTCTCCCCCTCTAAGCTCGGAGTTAATTAGTAGGACTTGTATCAGTAAATTGTTATTATCTCCATTCTTACAATCTACAAACATTTTCTGGCTTTAAATAACCTGCAAAAGGTTGATAAGCCATAAAACACAAATCAATCAATCAACCTCATGCTCAGAACACTAACATTCTAGTTACTCAGCCACACACCTACAGTTAAGGTAATATACCAGTGACATAAATATAAGAGTAAAAGATGTTGAGTGGGTTTTGGAGGAGATTTTTTAGGAAAATGTGTGCCTGATATGGCAGAAAATTCAGGAATTAAGAGGTGTTTTATTTACTCAAGATTATATTTTCCATTTTTTCCTTTCCCTTCTAAAATTCATCTCCTCCCTCCAAGCTATGGGTTAAATAGTAAGACTTGTATCTAAAAAAAAATAATTGTTATTCTCAAAACATTGCAATATTTACTTATAAAAATAATTATTCTTACAATTTAAAATATGTTTCAGCTCTAAATAACCCACAATAGTTTGATAAACCATAAAAAACAAATCAATTTTTGAATCATTTCAGCAAGATAATAAAGCCACTAAGACGCAAGTAGGTACTATGTGTGAGAGAATATGAGAAAAAGAAAAACATTATTAAAGAGAGAGAACAATAAAAGTACAGAAATTAAAAAAGATAGAAAATAACGATTAAAATTGTATTTAAATTGAAAAACCAAAAGCCGGAAGAGTGTTCCTCAAATGAAAAGTATGAGAAAAGACATTGTTAGCATAAAACTTACAGTTACATCTATAGCTATTTCAACTATGAACTGATGAGACTTAACTGCCAATCTAGTACTGCATTTTAATTAATAAAATCTAAATACCATAGAGGAAAGTTCATTAGAACAATTACTATGAAAATATTTATAGAAAAGGCACAGAAAAGCTATAAATGGGAAAGTGACTGAAGCTAAGATGCCAGGTCAGTACGAATAACATTGCAGATTCTTCTTTGGATTTTATCAAGAATATCTAAATACATAGCAGAAGCACCAAACAGATCTGACGGCAATATTCAATGCTTTAAAATCAAGTTTTTGAATAATGACTGGAATGAATTTGCTTGATAAAATTTTTTATTACATTGATAAGGAGTGTGCAACAAACAAGTACACTTACCAGAAATTGAAATTAAAGGACTTTGGTCATGTGATACCTGAAAAAGAAAATCAAGTAGAATTAAGGGAGGAAAAAAAATCACTTGAAAGATTTTTATTCAAATTGCATAATTTAACTTCCAAAGACAGCAATTATAACAGGTTTTACTACTTTAGCCTAAACTCCAAAAATTAGCAAAAGTTATTTGAGTTAACCTAATTTTGATATCTTAAAACTAGTTTAAACTCAAGTTAAAAGAAAAAGTATTTTTTCTAAGAACTTAATTTCTTTTTAAATGTTTTGTACATCTGAGTTAATATTCAGTCAGTCTCTTAAGTGCCATACACACTTGGGTGATCATGTTTCTTTCAATTCATGACTGGCAAAGCAGATTTTCCGTAGTAAGTTGCCATTTGTTTCTGTATTAGACTGGCTGCCAACCAAGGCTATAGGACCCAGTTTGTCCTGCTATTCAACTGGTATCTGGGGATGGGAAGGGTGGTAGAGATACATTCATACTTTTCCCCAAGGGTATTTGCACATTAGTGAAATGAATCTGACTGGAATTCAAACTCAGCTCTCTGATGAGCCATTCCAATGTGATATCCATTACTCCACAATGAACATTTAATATTATTGCTTTAAAATAAATACTGACAGATGCCAAATATCATACAAGGTCTAAAAATAGAGTTTTAAGGTATGCTATATTTATGGTTAATAAACAAGCTAACATCAAATGGATATACATATCTCTCACCTCACTACATTCTGGGTTTGTTATCTACCTAAATAGTGTTCCCTTTTCTTTTTCTTGTCAGTTTTAATTTTAGCTTCTCAATGATAAAAGGTCATGACAAAAAGACAATCCACAGCATTTTAATTCCATCCTGTGCATCATCTTGTAATAAATAATTTTTCATTCCATGTAACATGAATGAACAAGAAATTTACAAACATATAAAACATTACTGATTATGGTTTTAAAAACAAACATTTGAAAAGTATATATTAATATATACAAATATATTAAAATAGGTACCACCACTTGCCCACTGAAAAAATAGCATAGGATGATGAAGAAAGGCCCCAAACTTAATAAAAAAAAATTTTATTGTCAAAATGTTTATGTTATTATTAAGAGGATTTTTTGGTTTGGTTTGTTTTACAGCATATCAACCTCAATAGGTTATTTCATGCCAACAAAATTTTTATTGCTGGTAATATTTTGTTTTGTCAAAAATCTATTTCTGGCAATATTTTTCCTTCAAAAATGTATTGCTGGTGTCGGAGTTACTTCCTCCTTCGATCCTTAAACTGGCAGAGGAACAGGTTTTTTTTACCTTGACCACTCGTTTGTGATGTGCCCTATACACTGTTACCCCTGTTGGAGAGACTATGCAGGTCCCTTTTTTTAGTTAAGTTATATTACAAACCTTGTTGTTATATACTTCTAAACATTTTTTTGCCATAGATCCCTTTAGCTAACCTCAACGTATTTTATTATAGAGACTTTACTGTTAGCTTATCCAATTCACTTGCTGGCCTCCTTACCACAAGACAGTGGCTTTTCACTTTCCGAGGGTCGGAAACTTGAAATGAAACTCGGATTAAAAGGCACGCCGATCAACAGGCTGCGATAGTTATGCTCCTATTTTTTTGTCTTCCAACTTCATGATAGTTGGAAAACTTCTTTCTCTCTTTTCCTACCTACTAAATAATTTTTAAGGCTCCTTGTTCAAAAAAATATATCGGCCCCTACTGGCTAATTGAAATTTTCGTTCAAAATTTCCGTCACTATGTTAGTAATTAATACTAAGGTTAAAAATATTGACTCGAATATTAAACACAAAACGCCTTTCTGGACCTGTGACATTTAACAACGCCAGCTCTTCTTTCCTTCCCAAACGTCAAGTGGCACCCACAATGACCAACAAGTGGCATTTTAAAACAACCAACAAAGTTTTTTTTTAAAAAATTTAAACAACCAACAAGTGGCATCCCGCAACGACCAACAACCAACAAGGCGGCATCCCGGCAGCGATCAACTTCAACAACCAACAGATATGATCCTGCCAACAACCAACATCAACTGCAAGAATCCACTGTGATGATCCTTTACAACCCACATCAGCTTCAACTGCAACAACCAACAGCGCGATCATCCCGCCAACAATCAACTATCAAACAACAGCGATCATCCTGGCAACTACCAAAACCAACCTCGACCATCAATGCCTGCACTAGAATTTCTACGTCCTCTACCGTCGACCACTTTTTATTTCTTTTTTTAGAAAAATTAGCATATATCATATATATCCTCGTTCTGTCATCTATATTGTTACACCTCGTCAGATTTAACGTCTTCAAAAATGTTAGCGGGCCTCTTGTGACCTCATTCACCCTTGTGTGATACGGGGCCGCTCGGGGGGGGCGCTCGGGGGGCCCACTACACTGGTAATATTTTTCCTCAAAAATGTATAGCGGGTAATATTTTTTTTCAAAAATGTATTTAATTAGGAAAGTTTTAATTACTTTTATAAATAAGATTTATTAAGGACACTATTGTCTTAAGAAGAAAAATTTTTCAATGAATAATGAATTTTTACAAGAATTGTTTTCATTTTTTATAATTTTAATTATAATAATTTATATTATAAATCATTTAAAATTCTGCATTACTTCAATCCAGTTGGGTGATATTGTTATTAAGTGAAAACTATATTTACAAATCAAAAATTGAAAAGCTCAATAAAAGCCATTTACACCTAATATTTTTTTTTAATTTTTAACTTTTTCATTTTTATAAAATATTATGTAACTTACCCGTTTGAAAGTATGGTCGACCATACACAACATAATCAGAAAATAAGAGCAATGACTGTAGTAAATTTAAATTCAACATTACTAATATTGGATTATGGAGAATATTTTCCAACATTTTAAAGATTACTGAGTACTTAAAAATTATATAAAAAAGGTGCTTATATTTTAACAGATAAAGTCTCTGTAGAACAACAGTAAAGTTGCTGACAGATTTTATCATTACTTGTCAAGTGATCTACTGTTGCTAAGCGTGTAATCACCACTACCATTTGTTTTAAAAATCCATTTCTCTATTATTTTAAACTTAAAATAAATATTTTTTTTCAAATCAGATTAATTATAATTTAAATCAGCTTCATCTTCCTCAAATAAACTTTCAGAAAAGTATATTTTATTTTGGAAGATTTTGAAAACCAAGAATTAACTTTTGTTAACAAATGTGTCAAAAATGGCCAATATTTTTCAATTTATTGGAAGCAACCAAAAAGTCGAGATTCCAATCAATATAATTTCTATTTGAAATGCACCAGAGTATTTAACTTACTGGAAATAGTAAATGTAATCATTTAGCTTTCAATTAAAGCGAAAATGAAAGCTTCAAGAATGCATTTTCATTTTTTTAAATTCATTTTAAACCTTAGGTATTGAAAATTTAGCTGAGGTACCTATATTAAAACAAAGGACAAAGAAGAACAAGGATAAGAAAAAAATTGCAAACTGTAAAGTGGTAAATATAACAAAAATAAAACAAAAAAGCTAACTGTTTATCCCTTGCCAGTGCTCAATTGATGACAAAACATATAATAACATAGCAAAAAGAGTGGAAAGCAAAAAAAAGCAATACCAAAGTATCAACAATATTGACAGATTGTATTAAGACGCAGCAACCATTCCTCCTGCTGACAGAGGGAAGGCTGCTTAGACTTAATATATAGAGTCTCAGATACTCTCAAATCGTAATTTGAACGTGACCTGCTGACTACTGTTAAAAAATCTTTGTTAAAGTTGAGGGATGAGTCAGATTATTTATTGGAAGTATTGACAAGTGTATACAATTTTTCATACTGCCCTCAACGGATCTATGCTGATCAATCCTCGTCCCCTAACCTCTGATTAGTTCTGCTAATATATTCAGCATTGCACTAATATTTAAAGTCATAAATCACCAAAATAACATGATGGGAGGAGAGAACATGTTTACTATTGGTTTTCAACATAGATTGGGAACACTATTTACATTATTCGGACTATTGTCCTCAACTTTGTCACCATGTTTATCACAACGTTTCAGTCGTTGTATGCTCCAGCTTTCTTCAGGTGGTTGGAATATTGAACTGAACCCTTTATTTTGCTCACTGGGGTAGACTGTTCTAGTTCCACGTGCCGTTGTGATAAACATGGCGACAAAGATGAGGACAGTAGTCCAAATAATGTAAATAGTGTACATAATACCTCATCTCAGAAATATCGACAGATACTGATAGATTGGGAAGTGAAAACAAGTCATGGATTGGCAGGAAAATAATAAAGCTGCACACAAATTATTGATAACTTACTAAGCTTAAGTCAAAAATAAAACAACAATGTTGCACCAAGTAAAACTCATACTCATTATATTAGTACATGAGATAACCTTGTAAAGCATCACATTATGGTAAGTGCCCAAGAGACTAATTAAGTTATGTATAATCCCAAACTTTTAGTCATAAAGCACAAAAACATCCAATGTTCAATCCCAGGGTTTCCATCCACCCAGACCTTTACACCATGTAGGAAGGTATGACTAAATCCCATCATTTAGCAACTGTAAAAACAAAGATCTTACTTGTACACTTCTTGGAGCTTTATTTTCTTTTCCTTTCTTCTGTATTGTAGAGGGACATGTTTTAAAACATGGATTTTTCAACTCTGAAACACAGTTTTCAAGAATGGTACCATCACTGGAAAAACGCCATATACTCCCAGAGCAATCCTCATCATTACTTGGAGTCACTGCCATGAGAGGTCTAGTCATGGTCCACTTCAAATCCATTGTAGATGTTGAACAATGGTCAGTACATGGAGGAGTAGAAGCTTTCAAGGGTTCTTTTAGCCGAAAGTCAAGCATCCACAAACAACCAGAACACTGTCCACAAGCAACTAGAGTATTTGAGGATAGGGTTTCTAAACCGCCAAGTCTTTCATCAACACTAAGAGCTAGAAAAAAAATATCTTTGATGATTAGTCATTTTGAAGTTAAATTCATGTACAATATTACAAAATAACAAGCATTATGAAAATTTAAATTTTAATGAATATGGATGAAAAACAGTGCTTATCAAAAGAGTCTTTACTTTTGATAAGGAGTCCAATTAGTTATCTGAATACACACAGATTCATTAATGATTCTGGATGAGGTGAAGATCCATAATACGCCAGTGACCATTTCAATACAATCTTTGTACAAACAACGTTTTTTTAGTATTTTTTAATATTAATAAATACATGAGACCTTCAATATACTCTTTGATTAGAGCTAATGTTTTTAAAGTTTTTTTAGAAAAAGTTATAGGTTTTGGAGTCATGTAAGGTTGGGTAGGTATTTTTTTGTCTGGCTACAATGGCTAATTTTATCAGGCTTTGTTGCTTTTTTATTACTTATCTGCTAAAAATCTAACTGATTGATGTTGTAGTTATGGGCCTTTTTGGTGTTTATTTGTTTTTTTTGTTGATGGTTTCTTAAAAAATTTGACATATAACACCCCTACTTTCATCAAAGCAGAGACCTCTCGATAATGAAAAACTAACCCCAGATTACACCTCCATTTCAAAAGTATAAATGAATAAAACATTTCATTGCTTAGTTATTCCAAACATCACTTGAAGATGAAACAGTCATCTAACCGTTAAATATTGAAATTAAACTTGAATACAGATGATCGGGTTCGAAACATCATAATTTCTGTGTCGTGATGGAATCGTATTTTTTAAAAAATAATTGTAATTTAGGATCTACTTCTGTATCAAGCACTGTTTTTTAAAAATAAAAATACGAAAGAACTTAGGATCATCAATCTAATAGTTTTTCCTATTATATCAATACACACACACACACACACACACACACACACACACATATATATATATATATATATATATATATATATAAATATAGGTTTAGAGTATAGTTTTAAGGTATGCTATATTCATGGGTTAAAGTTCTTAATATCAGAAATAGAGCATATGTAAATAAAAAATATATAAAAGTGGACACCGAGGTTAACACTCAGTAGCAATTGTTTCATTCTTGAACTTTTGAATCTTCAGAATTATTTATATATAATGGTCAGTGGTGCATTATGGGTAGTAAATTCAATTGTATTAGCTTTATATATATATATATATATACAAATTCAAATTTCTATAATATAGATTTAACTTAATTAGCTACTATATTTCCATATTTACTCCCCCTCTAATTCTTCAAATGTCAAATGTATAACTAATTCTAATTTCTATATTCCCCCCATAACCTCTTTACCTATATTAATTATAATTTATAAACTTTCCCCTACTTTAATATTTCCCCCAATTCTCTTTCCATTAATCCTTTATATCTTTATATCTAAATATTTTAAAGTTATTTTTAAATCCCTTTTTATTCCTCTTTTAGTTTTAAATTAATATTTCATTCTTCATATAACCCCAAATTAATGTCATAAGGTTAATATTTGGGTTTAATTTTATATAACTTCTTTAAGACAGATACCTTCTACCCTTCTCTGACCCCTGTCTTGTGCCTTTTGTCTGACTGAAACATTGAAATGGATAAATTCTGTATTAGTTTTTTTTATGTGTTTTTTTTTTTACCATTAAATTTCTATTTCTGACACAAACTCAGTCCATACCAGGGTTGATAAGACGGTCAATCAGTGTTTTCACCTGCTGAAATAGGCTATTCCCTATATGAGATGATTTTGGATTTTATTGTTCATTAATTATTTAATATAAATACATTGAGCTCTTTTTTGGATCAGTTTTAATATTTTATATTACTAGGAACCACTTGGATTATATACCAATGGATTTGTTACCTTTAAAGACAACTGACAAGGTATTGTAATTGAGCTTTTTATTCAATTTTTCTGTGTTCATATAAATGTTTTGTTTTCTGGGCATAAAGTGTGTAAAAACTAAATGTTCCACATATCCAAGTGTTTCCAGATATTCTATTCACTATTATGAAGGATGTTTTTAGATTTCATGTTTTTTTATTTATAATCCAACACACAACTCCTTAGTCTCAATGGCTGTTGTGTGTAACTCTGGTTCTAAATCCTCTATATTCTGACTATCATCTGTTCTCCAACATGAAAAAACACTTGGCTGAGAACCAGTATTACAGTGATGAAGACACCATACCTCCTGTTGATGTCTTTTTGACCAACAGGATGAACATTCTTTGAACAATCAGAAACAATGCAGTTATTAATAAGAAGAGTTGAAATTAATGCATGCAAGAATTCACAGCTCTCACATCACTGCTTCATAGTCAGCCTATGATCTTTTCAGCACACCCTCATATAATTTTCATCTGCCAACCTTGGTTTTTTGAGAGTCTTTAATAAAGAAAATGTGTTCTTCAGCAGGGTTTGAAACTGCACCTTCCTCTTCAGTTTTTGCACTCTGCATTATTTAGTAGTATTACTTCCCCTTTCTTTCATTCTTTTTTCAAGGTTCCTCAGCTTTAATTATTGATTTCAGTCAAACTCATTTTCTATTATCATAGCAAAACATAAACTTCAAAACACTATCATTTGGTAATTGAATTTGCCTCCAATGGTTAGACAAACAATTTGCTTGACAAACAAAGAAAAATGGAAAAAACAGAAAGATTAATATTATTTTATCTTTTAGGGACTGAATTTATAAATTTTACCATTTTTAAGGTAACTCAAATTTAAATTCAATTTATGAGCTATCTACTTAAGTTAATCTCTCTGTAGCATTACAAAACTAAATTATCTGCCCTTGACTCAACCGTAATTTATGCATATGCCAAAAAGTAAGAAATGAATCATATGACAGTCTGGTAAGAGATGTGAAAAGTAAGTTGCCGTGCCAGCTTCTTAGAATGACAGCACATCTATTCCCAAACTTTCATTTTCTCTTAGCATTTTAGTCTAGCTACATCACTAACACAATGTATGCCCAAGTCAAACTATCAAATAAAATTGTAATTCATTTTTCTTTTTCATATCTGCCAATATGTATCTGTTCCTCTGTCAAGGCAAATTACTGTTACATTCTTGCTTCCCTGCTACCTACATTCTTCAAAAATTTGAATGCAATGTCAATTGCAATTTTCTGTCTCCCTGTATGTTGTTCTTTTATTGTCCTTTCTCCTCACTAAAGTCTTCTCATTCTCTGTTACTCCCAGTAACTCCTTGTGTCTTAATGACATTATTGCCTTGCTTGGGGTAAAATAATTTTTTTAAATTTTTTTGTCTTTTCAGAAGAGGAAAATCTTTCATTCAAACCAAAGTAAGGTTTGTTTTTAATGATCTCTGCTCAACTATGAAAAAATGTCAATATTATTATCAATGTTTTTAGTTATTTTATGTTATTTTCTCCTCACTAAAGTCTTGTCATCCTTTTCTACTCTCTTAACCCCTTGTGTCTTAGTGGCATTATCACCTTGCTTGGGGTGAAATGATTGAAAAAAAAATGGCATTTGAATATAGTTAAAGTCATAGATTGTCTTTAGATGTATACATGAAATGAGCTTCGGAGTAAAGGTCTGTAAATATTTAAATGCATTCAATACAACTTAATATACAATAATAATAATAAAAGTGATGATATAGTCTTTAGATTTGTATATGAAATATACTTTACAGTAAAGGCATGCAACAAATGAAAATACTTTTGAAGCATCATAATATAATAATAATAATAGTGTGGTATCATAGATTGTCTTTGGAGGTGTACATGAAAAAAAACTTAGTGTTAAAGGTCTGCAAAGACAAAATTACTTTTTATACAAATTTACTCATTTATACTAAATATATAATAATAATATAATGTAGTCATAGTCTTTAAATGTATACATGAAATAAGCTTTAGATTAAAGGGCTGTAAAACTTACATTTACTTTGGGTGTGATGCAATACAGTCTGAGTAGCAATATCAGCAATGCAAATATTATTCAAGCAGGAACCAAATGCCATGATAGTATCAGACATTTTGGATAAAGCAGAAGCTTCACTACAAAAAGAGAGATGAAAAAAAGAATTATTTTTTCTTCAATTCTGTCACAATATCCTTCATTTCTGTTCTTTCAGTCAACAATCATTTTCCTAAAATCAACATTTAATTTACTCACAAAAGACACCTGTAAAAATACAGTTCTATAAATGTTCAACAGATCCTGAACTTTCACCTATCATAATGGATGGGTTTTCTCTGAAGGAAGCATCTTGCCTTAAACATCTATTTGAACTCAAGCACCCATCAGACCACAAGTGGAAGTCATCTATCCAATTTATTGCTAAAGATACTGGAAAACTGGTTGGTTTATTGTGCGATTCTTGTAAGTATCTGTCTTGTCTTGCTATATTCTGTCTTTACAAGAATCAAATCAGACCCAAAATGGAGTACTGTTGCCCATGTCTGGGTTTAGCTTGCCCAGTCCTCATTTGTGTTCAAATGCATCAACATAGCATTATGGGTGATTATTTTCCACCCTACAACCCCTTTCCCAAAGATGAAACATCATGAGCCTCTCACTGAACCTATCACTATTTCCATGGCATGTGTTCTAATGAGTTACATACCTTACTCTCACCAGCACTGACCTTTGCAATTGGGACCCGCCATTGGCATTTACACAAAGATGAACAATCCCAATTCCATTCATATTCCAACAGCAAAAAGTAAGTTCAATTCCAACAGCTTCTTCCCAAGAACTGCTGCTTTGTGGAACAGATTCCGGGGGGGGGGGGTTTCTCCTAACTACTACAAACTCTCCAAGTCTAGAGTTAACCATTATCTTTCCTGCATAACCCCATGAACTTTGCTTCTGGCTTTTTCTTATGCTCATACAACACCACATAGTAACCCTCTACCTTGAGTAGCTCTTGGGTTTTGTATTGAGTGAACATTAGTATAAAAAAAAAGAAAATATGAAATTTTTATAGCATTGTATTAAAAAATGAATAAAATTTCTCTATTTTATATATATATATATATATATATATATATATATATATACTAGCAGCATGGCCCAGCGTTGCCTGTGCTTGATTCAAAAATCGTACGACATACAGCAATCGCTATCACTTGACTTGAAATATTTTTGCCCTTCCTTGCCTTTAAAGGAGTGCCCTTTGCCGTGCTGATGTTGCCTTACTTCTTGCCTATCTCACACTGCGAATTTTTTCTAAGCTCTATACTAAACATTAAATCTGTTACGAAAAAAGAACTAACCAAAATGAACACAAAACGATTAGCTTTAAAAAAGGACTCATAACTGGAAAAACCGAATGAAAAAAAATGTTAACAACAAATACTTTTTCACACCCAACCCAGTTCTGTGGAATCAGAATCAACGTTGAGTTTAAGCAAGCGAATGAGCCAATTGGAGTAAAGTGCCATGCAGATTTAAATTTTTTGCACTTGTGACAAATGCAGCTATTGATTTTTTTTGCATGCTAGTTAACATTCATGTCAGTCAGCTGTTGGCTCTCACGCTGGCCAATAGAATCTTCCTGCCTATTCGTGGCAGCCAGCTATTGGCTCTCATTCTGGCCAGTACAAAATGGCCACAAACTACATGAAAACTGCCATAGAAGCATGAAAAAATCAATTATTTCCACTATAGAATGGGAGTTGGGAAATGCAAAGTTGGTCTTGGCCTTCCCGCTAACTTGGAGCATATGCATGTAAATTTTGGTGCAAATCCGTCGAAAATTGCGGCCATGCATTCATTACACACACACACACATATCCTGCCTTTTATAGATAGAGACATATATATATATATAGTTTAAGGTGTGCTATATCTATGGGTAAAAGTGCTCAATATCAGGAATAGAACATATATATATATATATATATATATATATATATATATATATATAAGTAGAAACTGAGGTCAACTCCAAATGGCAACAGGCCTGAAGATTGTGTTCAAGCATGAAACAGACTGTCGCTGCTCAGTGTTAACCTCAGTGTTGATTTGATACTTACATATGCTCTATCCCTGATATTGAGCACTTTTACTCATAGATATAGCATAGATGAAAACTATATTTTTATCATATATATGTGTGTGTGCCCTCACTGGGTGACCCCTACTTTCGGCCTTGTGCTACATCTAAGGTACACTTCGAAAATCGCTATATATATATATATATATATATATATATATATATATATATGTGTGTGTGTGTGTGTGTGTGTGTGTGTATGTATGAATAGTCAATATCAGTTGTTTTATAATGTTCAAAATACCATGCTATGTTTGTTTTCATATCTAAGCATATATACCAAATACTACTTTCATATTTCATATTCATTACCAAAACCCATCCATGTTGCTCATATCAATTTAAGTAAAAAAAGCAATATAAATAATAATAATGATGATCACGAACCTTTCAATAAAAATTTTCAAATGTATTGCAGTAATATTTTCTTTGAAGTTTTAATTGCAACAACATAAAGTGTGTCATTAAAAGAAATAAAAATTACTTTTGTGTGCATAACTGTTTTTAATGTCATTTCATCTCAAATTGACAATAATTATCCCATGATTGATGTCTGCCGACAGAAAAAAATTAAGCTGTAATTAAAAATCTTAAAAGATAAAAAAAGCAGTAGTTATTATATAAATATAGGATTTGATAAAAATTAGTAAAATTAATGATTATATAACTAGATCTGGAAAAAATGCCTTAAATTATAATAAAGTATGGATAACCAAAATGACAAAACCTGCTATTACCCAGAGTATATTCCTAATTCAAACAGCAATATATAACAGGCAACATAATATTTAAAATATGTAATAGCAAGTTAAAAAATAGTCTTTGTATTTTTGCTGCAGTATATTATCATGATATGTTAAGTAGAACATAAAATGCATAAAGGTTTACCCTTCCTTATAGTTGAAACAATTGCATTTTTCTCACTGCTGAGATAAAAAGCCAAGATTTCAAATGCTGATTTTCAATGTAGGTAAGAAACTCTCCTCTCTTGGTAGATGAATTCCACATACTCTCTCTGATAATCTATTTCTTCCTCTTCTATTTAACTGTATGCCTACTTTAACTAAGTAAATAGCTGTTAAAATAGTAAGGTAATGGTAATATTAGCTGTTTCCTTATAAAGCAACATTCAGCATTCATTGACCAAGCAACCAGTGTTACTTTTGGTTGAAATTCATAAAATTTTTCACTTAAAACAATTTTCCAGGAAAATAGGTTTCTTAAATCCAGTAACTAAATTGGATTGTAAGGAGTTGACTTTCATAAAACAATGAAAGCCAAGTTAATACAATTTTCATTACTATTTTTACCACTATAGATCCGATTGAGATACCTCTGTATGTGCATGGGTCTTGAGGACTACCTTTTTGTTTCCTTAGTGCAATGCACAATATATCCCACTTTTTCAGGATGCATTTCTAATTCCAAACTTCCTTCATGAAATTGAAAAACTTGTTATTTCAGAAGATAAGCAATTTTCAAAAGTTCAGCCTCAATGTCAGCCTCAATGTCAGCCTCAATGTCAGCCTCAATGTCAAGTGAGGTTTTATTATTCTTTAGTATTATTTATATTTTTCTTTACTTCTTCATCATTAGGTTTGTTATTGTTTACATTTGGAGACAAACTTTGTACTAACTGTATGTTCTTTGATGTATGTTCTATTTCTGCGGGCATCTTCAGTTTAATATGATGTGGTCACGGTTGAAATTTCATTCAAAGAGATTTTTGAAATCATATTTCTTCTGTGGTGGTTTTGATTGTATGTTCTTGTGATTTTTTCTGGCCTCTCTCCACATTTCAATGCTATACTGTTTGGTGTCATTAATTTGGCTTCTTCCAATTTTCCGAAGACATTGGTTTCTCAGGTCATTAAGTAGTTCTTTTTTTTTTATATTCTTTGTTAATCTTTTAGTAGACGCCCTTCCATTTTTCTTCCTCTCATGCTGCTTGCTTCTTCCTTGTATCAATCTTTTCAACTCAAGATTCTCATCCTACAGGAATGTCTTTTTTTCCATCTAAGTATATTCTTGAGATGGTCTCATTTGCTTCAGCAGATTCTTCTATATCGGTCAAGATTTAGGGAAATCAATTTGGAATCCCATTTCATTACATACTCATCAATAACAGTGGGTAGATGAGAAGACTTAAGAGTGGAAGGTCATTAGAAATGTCTTTCTCACTAATTACGATTATTACTATTAGGTGGAAGATCTTTTCTATCAAAGGTTACTGTAATCACATTTTAACTTTTCATACTATACGCCTTCTAACAATTGTTTTTATTAAAAAAATTCAGCACTACCTAAATAGTCCACTTGTAAAAATAAAATAATGAAAACATTTTGGGGAAATAATTTTTATATATCAGTATTATTTAGACCTTCTTTAGGTCACAATACATGACAGAATTGAAAATAACTGATTTTTATCAATTTAAAAGTGGGGGTCCTGTTTATAATATTGATACATTGTCAAATCAATCCCTGACTTTTACTTCTGAGTTAGATTTAGATGTTTTGTGTCCAAAGCAGACTTGGACTTGGTGGGTGGGGGGGGGGTTTACAAAAAGATTTAATTTAAACAAAGAACAAATGCATATATACATTTTTAATTAAAGAACAAAGATTTATATAAATTAACACAAATATATATCCATTTATTCTTCATATAAGATAAATAATTATTAATCACAAATGTCTGTCTGTGCTTCCAAAAAAACTTACACAGAAAAGTTTTCAAAAATAATTTTTAAAAGTTTAAAATAGAGGTTAAAAATATGCAGATATCAATGACATAAGCAAATTTGACATTAGTAAAAAAAAAAAGTTAAATCCAATAACTCTGTAAAAATCAGGAACCAAATTTTATATTATAGTAATATTATGAACAGAGCATTCAGCCTTCTAATCTGACTAAAAAAAAAATTTTTTTTTCAATCTTGACAAGTGTCATGGCCTAATCAAGGTTTTTAACAAAAATTATTTCCAAAACATTTTTCCTTATTTTTATGAGTGGATCAGTCTATTTATGTAACGCCAAAATTTCATTACTATTCCAGAAGCAACTGAAAATTGTTAGCAACTTCAATACCATCTTACCTGTTACAATTAACATTCTGAATGGTTTTCACCTTTGGCATGACGTCTGCAAAGAGAATTCAAGGTTTAGTTCAAGGGGTAGCAAGATAAATAATCTTTCAATATTCTGATTAACATTTTTTGCTTACCAAATGAACTGAACTTATAATATTTCAACAAACATCTTCACTATGTGGAAGGATAAGATAAAAGAGAAACTCAAATCACATAAAGACAAAGATGGCAGCTGTTCTCATATATGTAAATGGAAAGGAAGGTTTTCAGTTCCACAAACTTAAGGAAATTTCTTCTTTTCTAAAGATTATATATCTTATCCAAAGATTCCCAAATAATTCTTTTAGTCATTTCAGCCCAAGCAAGGCAATAAAGTCACTAAGATGCAAGGGATTAAAAAACATTATTAAAGAGAGCTAACAATAAAAGAACAGAAATTAAGTAGACAGATCATGATTGACTTTACATTTAAATTTTTGAAGATCAAAGTTGACTGAAAATCAAGAAGCCAGAAGAGAGTTCTACAAGCAAAAAGTGCAAGAGACAAAACTATTAGCATAGAACTTATGGTTACATCTCTCACCATTTCAGCTGCAAAAGGATGAGACCTTGCCACAAATGTAGTACTACATTCAAATTCATAAAATCTAGGTACCATAGAGTAAAGTTCATCAGAAAAATACTATGAAGGTATTTATAGAAAAGTCACAGAGGTGTTATGTTACAGAGGTGGGAAAGTGACGCTGAGATACCAGGTCAGGACCAGAACATTGCAGATTCTTTTTTGGGGATTATATCAAGAATCTCTAAATAGGATCCCCAGACCAGATGTGGCAGCAATATTTAAAGCAATATGCATGGCATATTTGCCACTATGCAAAATAAACACCCCATAAATTTAAAAAGGACTTTTTTTCTTTCTTTTTGTGTATTCCCAACACAACATTTTTTTTTTGCTTCCTCTCAGCAAATTGGGCACACTGTGATAAACATCTTTATTTTTTTGTCATGGAAAAGTACAACTTACAGGCTGGCAAATATGCCGAGCAAGCAGACACCTTTCAACTTTTAGTCTTTCAATTATAACAAACATCAATTATAATTAATAAGCACCATAAAAATAAATTAAAGAAATGAAAGAGAAAAAATAGAAATTTTGACACAACTATTTACTCCTGTCATAGTAGCAAGTCTGGCAATTGTTCTCAAAAAGAACCTCTAATCAGTGGTTAACTGTGGCAAAGAATGGCTTGTAAATTTTAATGCCTCCAAAACAAAACTGCTTTCATTTAATCACCACAGAGAACCTTTTCTGCCTGCCATCATCATGGCTGATGCTAACCTCCATGAGAGCAATACTTTGCACCTTCTTGGTTTCACATTTTCCACTGGTATGAAGTGGAGTGACTATATTGAATTACTCACTAGATCTACTGCTAGGAAAGTTGGTTCCATGTGTTATGCCAGACAATACTCGTCAGCATCCATCTTGCATATTTATAAACTTACCATTCATCAATGCATTGAATATTGCTGCCATAACTGGACTAGTGCTCCTACTATATATCTCAAAATTCTTGACAAAATTCAAAGTGTCTGTAATGTAATTAATCCTGACCTGGAATCTTGACTTTAGTTACTTTCTTACCATTGAAAGTAAGGCTGATCAGTCCAATAAGGTCAAAATAGCAACTGATGTACAAAACAATCTCAAGACAGCCATTAACTGGGACAAAAGATGGCTTGTCAATTTTAACACTTCTTAAAATAAACTTCTCTTTATTAACCAAGTGAGAGACCCCTCTCTGCCTTCCATCAGCATGGCTGATGCTATCCTCCAAAAAAATGACTCATTGTGCCTTTTGGGGCTAACAAGAGGTGGAAAGACTACATTGAATCCATTGTTAGATCAGCTGCTAAGAAAGTTGGTTCACTGTGTCAAGCAAGACAATTTTTCTTTCCAGAATCTATCTTGCATATCTGTCAGTTTACCATTCATTCATGCTTAGAATATTGCTGCCATATATGGTCCAGTGCCCCTACTATTTACCTGGAGCTCCTTGATAAGATTCAAAGAAGAATCAACAATATTATTGGTCCTGATCTGGCAGCTCAGCTTCAGTCACTTGCCCAGCACCATAAGGTTGCCTCTCTATGCCTTTTTTATAAATACTTTCATGGTAATGTTCAGATGAGCTCTTCACTATGGTACCTAGACTGTATGAATTTAAGCACAGTACTAGACTGGCAGCGAGATTGCATCAATTTACAGTTGCTGCCGTAACTTCTATGTTGAGAGTTTAATTTCTCACACTTCTTGCTTGTTGAACTCCCTTTCAGCTCCATGATTTCCAGACAGCTTTGATCTGCAGGAATTTAAATGCAATGTTAATCGCTATCTACTGTCCTCCTGATTGCTCTTTTCTCTTTCTCCTCATTACTAATGTTTCTGTTCCTAATTCCTCGACACCCTGTAACCCCATGTGTGTTAGTGGCTGTAATGCCTTGATTGGGGTGACACAAATTAAAAAAAAAATAATATGTTTTCAAGATGTACGTATGCATCTTTATGAAACTTACATAGCCTATTGTCAATATATATATATATATATATATATATATATATATATATGTTTTCAAGGTATGCTTATATGTCTTTATAAAACTTATATTGCCTGCTGTTGGTGTATATATAAATTTTCAAGGTGTACATATATGTTTATGAAAGTTAAATTACCTGTTGTTGATGTAGATATTTATTTTTAAGACCTACTTACATTTACATTGTCTGCTGTCAATGTGTATATATGTTTTCAAGGAATATATATGTCTTTATGAAACTTAGACTGCCTGCTGTTGATGTATATAAATTTGTAAGATGGGCTTATATGCCTTTGCAAAACATACATTACTGGCTATTGGTGTAAGTATACATTTTCAGGATGTACCCATACATCTTTATGAAAATTTATATTACCTGCTGTCAATGTATATATACATTTGTAAGACATATGTATATGTGTTTATGAAACTTAGATTGCCTGCTGTTGATATATACATTTTTAAGACACTGTGAAAATGTTAGTCCCTAGCATTCACATTATAAACTAACTAGTGCTTAGTACTATTTCCAAACCAACATAGAAATATCGTAGCTTACAATATTATCTGTTTTGTGACCTATTTTTATTATACTATATGTTGGGACTGTTGCTTAGCTTAGTATTTACTACAAAATATCTGATTGAAACCAAAATGGTACCCATGAGATATTACTCTCAGTGTCTTTATAGTCATTTATTTCTAGTAAATGGCAATTTCCTATTTTTCCCAAAATGTGCCAGCACAGCCTGGCAACAATGCTATAATATTTGAGCAGTAAAAGTTATATATTAAGTTCATTAACAAGGAAGGAAATTATTTTGAAAAATAGATATTTGTTATTTAAAATAAATGAATTCTTCATCATTAAGCTACACACATTGAAATATTATTATTAACATCTAGGAAACAAAAATGTTTGATTCTAACCTTGCCTAATATAATGGTTACATAATGTTACATTATCACGGTGTACTCGCTTCGACAATACATATACTAAAATTGGAACGATACAGAGAAGATTAGCATGGCCCCTGCATAAGGATGACACACAAATTCGTGAAGCATTTCATATTTTTTTAAAAGGAGGCACGGTGAAGTAATGGATAGTGGCTCAGACTGAGGAATCAGAGAGCCAAGTTCAAATTCCAGTCAAATCCATTACATTCACTTACATGCTAATAGCCTTAGGAATCCTCTTCTTCTCCTTGCAGCTATGGGTAAATAGCAGGACAGACTAAGTTCCATAGCCTTGGATGGCAACTGGTCTACTGCAGAAAGAAATGACAACCTACTGCAGAGAAAAAATCTGCCTCATCAGTCATGTATCAAAAGATACATGATCGCCTAAGCATGTACCACGCATGGCACATAACTGATAAAATTTAATATCAGAAAAAAACATGTATTCATATTTCAATGACCAATTGCACAGTCTTGATCCAACTTAGCAACCAATCAGATGGGACTTTATTGTGCATATGTGAACACTCTCTCATTGAGTTACTCAGTCAGCAGTGAAATACCATTGTGTAAGCTTTCAGACTGTATCATAGTTTTTTTTGGCAAAACTTTGCATTAGCCTGGTCTATCAGCACTCACCACATGCAAACTGGTCTCCCAGGGACTTCTGGCCTTTCCGTAAGAAAAATTTAAGACCATAGATGAGACTAAGGCAAATATGATGAGGCAGCTGATGGTAATCTCAAAAGAGATTGTTTTGAACAGTGGAATCTAGCCATTTCAACTGTAAAATGATGAGACCTTGCGGCCAATCTAATACTGTGCTTAAATTCATAAAGTCTAGGTACCAAAGAGGAAAGTTCATCAGAACAATTACCATGAAAAGTATTTATAAAAAAAAGCACAGGGAAGCTACATTATGGCAGTGAGAAAGTGACTGGAGCCAAGATGCCAGATCATGACTTATAACATTGCAGTTTCTACTTTTGATTTTATCAAGAATCCCTAAATATATAGCAGGAGCATCAGACTAGATGTAGAAACAATATTCAAAGCAAGTGAAGAATATTGGTTAGCTTACAAGTGGTCTGACACTCAAGTAGACTGGTGTAATCCCCAGTTAAAGCTAATTCTGAGTCATTTAATGGAGAGATATATGGGTGAATAGAGACCACTTATGCAAATGTGTTGGGCAGATCCATTCTAGCAAGATGGACCAACCCACCTGCTGCATTAGGCACTCTCCTATAAAATGAGGTAAAATTAGCTGGTTTGCTTTTTCAGAAGACAGCCATGTTAGCAGTTAAGTCACTTGACTTCTAAATATATAGCAGGAGCATCAGACTAGATGTGGAAACAATATTCAAAGCAAGGACAAATGGTAGACTTATAAATATGTATGATATACGTTAATAAATAAATTATTGATTAAACCAGAGTTTGAAACCAAATCAAAGACTGTTGTGCAGCTCCACTATTATATCACAACAGATTTCAAATGTGCCACAGACGTTGAAAGTTGGCAGACCACAAAAATACAATGTATACTTGATGATAAATTTAATAGTTATTTTGAAGTCACTCTAAACTCCTTTAACTGAAACAAATTTAGTAAGTGCACAAGATGAGAAATTTATTTATTTTTTTGTTAAAAACACAGTCAACGATGAAACAAAAACTGATGACAGTCAGTAAAAGATTTTTATTACCAAGAATTTAAATAAAGAACTTAGAATTGGAAATGATTCTTTCTGGACATTATTGGTTTATTCTATAAGAAACAGACAAAGTTATAATTAATGCTACAATTGATTTTAAAAACAACCAAACATTAGAAAGACATATGAAAATATTTAAGGATGTTAAAAATGTACAGGTGGTATTATAGATTGGTGGCTCTGAAAAAGAAATTGGCAAGACAAGTTTGAAATCCAATTGAGTTTTGGTGCATGAGGAAAGATATGATTCCATCTCTTCTCTTCCCAGCTATCAGGCCAAACTAGATTCATCAGCCTTGGTTTGCAACTAGTCTAAGAGAAAGACATATGTAATCCTAACAAAGCATATACTATGCAGTTAACAAAAGGATTGTGGAGTTCACAATGATGACTGCCAATCCTACAGATGGATGCAAATATTTTATGTGATTATTTTTTTTTTCTTAAATTAAAAATGAAAGAATAGACATATATGAAATGCATTATGCAGTTTATAAAGGCAGCAGGATGACCAACAAAATGCAATATATATATATATATATATATATATATATATATCAAATTTTTTACAAAAAGACTAGGTCATCATTAATTAAAATGATGTTTATTCTTTTTGTCCCTCAATTTTTTCATGACCATATACTACATACAGAGGTAAAAAATGATAGACAAATGCTTAACTCAAAATGAAAGACAAATTCATTGGAAAGAGGATCTTTTTGCCGCCTTTTCCGAAAAAAAAAGTGAGTTCTTTTTGTTTTCTTTTCTTTTTTTAACAATTTATAAAAATGAATTTTTTTTTAACAATTTATAGTAATGAGAAAAGTCAGAACACAGAGAAAAATTAAAGAATCCTTGACCCAATTATATTGTCTAAGTTATTTTATACTAAAAATACATATGGTAAACAGAAGCTGCAAACTACCATAGAGAAAAAAAAAACTAACAAATTTTTACTTACTGACACTGGAATCTGAACAAAGCTTCAGTATATCAACAGAACTGGTATCAACGTGGGCTACAGCTACATACCTGAAAATATATATAAAACCTTTGAAATCTTGTCTACTTGCCATGAAGTCTCTTAAAAGATTCCCCAACTCAACAAAGGAACATTCCAGACACACACACAAAACTTTAAGTACTTGTAACTATATAACTTTTTCTATAGATAGAATTTAAGGGTTTTAAATTAATTTTAAATTGTTTGCTTTTTGTATTAAGAATTTTGGTAATGTTAAGAATGCTTCACTTTAACCTTTTAGCAGATGTGTTTAAAGATATTTGTTTATATTAAAATAAATAAAAGAGAAAAGAAGGCCAGATAAGGATTATGCATCAGAGTGAATTGTCAATATGAAAAAGAAAACAGCTGTTAATTTGAAGTTAAATTAAAATTCCCTTTTGCTGTCACTTACAGATGATATTCTAACATCTGAGAGTAAAGCAAATTGAATAGAGACAATGAATCAGGAAAAACAGTAACAAACATAATAACAATCCAAGATGTTATCAAAATCAAGGCAATGTCAAATAATCTAATTTGTTGTTGTAAGATTTAAATATTATCCTTACTTTTCTTTCTTCAATCATTCCCTGTGTTGAGTGAAAATAAATAAAATTAAATAAGTTTGACAAGTAATAGAAAATAAATTCTTTTCTCACTCTTCAGACAAAGAAGAATTTTGATTAGGGGTAATCTTTAACCCTTATTTCCTATTTTTCCCAAAATGGGCCTGCACAGCCTGTCAATAATGCTAAAATGTTGGAAGTTGTATGTTAAGTCCATTAACAAGGAAGGAAATTATTTTGAAAAATAGATATTTGTTATTTAAAATAAATGAATTCTTCATTATTAAGCTACAGACAGATTGATATATCAACATTAACATCTAGGAAAAAAATGTTTGTTTCTAACCTTGCCTAATATAATGGTTATATAATGTTACATTATCGCATTGTGATAAAATTTAATATCAGAAAAAAAAATGTATTCATATTTCAATGACCAGTTGCACAGCCTTGATGCAACTTAGGAACCAATCAGATGGGACCTTATTGTGCATATGTAAACACTCTCTCATTGAGTTACTCAGTCAGCAGTGAAATACCATTGTGTAAGCTTACAAGTTGTATCACATTCAAGGAATTCAATTCATGCTTCATTTTTTGGAAAAACATTGCATTAAAAGGAAGTAAATGTTGCATGACATGCACAGTAAATGGATAAAGAAAAGTCATTATTTTAAAGGACAGTTTTTTTATGCTTATTTTCACTTGTACAAAAGGTACTGTGACCAGAAATAATTACTTTTATTTCTTTTCTACAAATTCTTTTTTTTTCATGTTACTATACATTAAGCAAAGCTTACAGCCACATCACATTGAAACACTGATTCTCATTTGATACCAAAGTTAAGTAACGTTAAACTTGATTAGTACCTAGATGTGACCACACGGGAATACCAGCTGCTACAATTTTTGAATATGCGTGTGGTGTATTGGATAAAGGCTCAGAATGAATAATTGGAGAGCTGAGTTCAAATTTCAATCAGGTTCATTATATTTACTTATGTGCAAACCCCCTTGGAAAAAGTATGAATCAACCTCTTCTCCTCCCAGCTATAGATTAAATAGTAAAACATGTATCATAAAATCATTATTACCTCCAAAAACTTCATACATTCCAAAAATATTTTTTGGCTTTAACTAATCTAAAAAAAGGTAGGTTGATAATTCATTAAAAACAAATATATACATTAAGCAATCCAGGTTAGTATAATCAAAAGAAAAAGTTTTTTATTAAGCAGTAGAGCATATCAAAACAAATGGTGGTTTCCATACAGATGGTTTGGTTTGGTTTGGTTTGGTTTATTTTGTTTAATGTCATATCAAGCTCAATGGGTTATTTAATGCGAACAACATTTTTAAGATAGATTTGTATGAATAGAGTATATATTTTTTGGTTTAGATTGGTTTGGTTTATTTTGTTTTATGGCATATCAACCTCAATGGGTTATTTAATGCTGACAAAAAATTTTATTGCTGGTAATATTTTGTTTTGTCAAAAATCTGTTTCTAGTAATATATTTCCTTCAAAATTGTGTTGCTAGTAATAATTTTTTTCAAAAAAGTATTGCTGGTAATAGTTAACTATCTGCCCATAGCTGGTACCCTAACAGGTGCTACCACCCCGGGTCAGGGTGGACCTGGGAACACCAGCAATTAAGAGGTGGTTCCATGCTCCTCAAAACCTCCCAATCAGAGGCCTTGCTGCTGGACGTAGTTTAACTTCTTACCCAGGACGTCCCTACAGATGAGGATATAGGTTGGAGCCCTGCCAGAGGGCATATTTTCTTACTAGGATTTCTCAAGTGCTCAGACCGTTACACATAAAACACACTAATAAATAAAAATGGGGTGTCTAATTCAAATACAAAGAGTCTACTTTAATAACGTTTGAAATAATAAAAATGTCAGATTAAAATAAATACATTAATTCATTAGAAACTACTTGATAAATTGTATAAAAGCTAATAGAGGGTCCAGTTTACTATGTAAATCAATTGTTAATTGATCCCCCTACAGAAGTTGAAAAAAACTTGCTCATACAACATGATTTCTTTATATGTAAAAAAAAAAGTCAAAATTTGTCTTTTTTTTTAAATTTGTTTTTTTCGATGTTCTTCATAAATTACAACTAAGCATGAAAGCTCTAAGAATATTTGAACTCTTTTACATTCTAATGATAAAGAAATAAGGAAATTAAATTGCATTGTGCATTCTTTGCACCCAGTTTTTTGCCTTCATTTTTCACTTTTTCTCTTGAAGAATTATACATGTCGACACAATGCTGTTTTTATTATGTTTAATACTCCAGAAAATGAATCCTGAATCCTGGAGTTGCCAGTTAGTCAATTAGACTCGAATAAATGATACCCATCTTGACAGGAAAAAGTTTAAATCATCAATTGATGATATCCATTGATGGCCACCATTCAATGCTTAAATGAAATAGAAAGAAAAAAATCACTTAATATTGCTGCAAATTTATATTAAATGTATTTAATGGCACATAACCTGTACCACTCTAGTAAGTATTCAACTCCTCACATTATCCTCTACATTTGCAAGAGCCAGATCAGGACAAAAATGGAGTACTGTTGCCATATTTGGGCAGGAGCTGCCAATTCTTCACTTTCCACACTCGATAGAATCCAAAAGCATCTCCACATCCTTGTGGGTGATGAATTATTTTCCACCATACAACCCCTTTCCCAAATATGAAACATTGCAAGCTTCTCTATCACTATTTCCAAGCAACATATTCACAGACGCTACATTCTTTAGTTCCACCAGTTCTCTTATCTTCAATCTGACTATGCGACACACACATTGTAATGAACCACCCTTAATCCCTTTGTATTCCTTTGAGATGTGGGTTCTTCCTACAAATCACTGCTCTGTGGAATGGACCCCCAAGAGAATGCTTCCCAATCACTAGAATTTTAACCTATTCAAGTCTAGGATTAACCATTATCTTCTCCACATATCTCCATAAACTGTACCTATTACTCTGTAACCCTCTACCTCGAGTGGCTCCTGGGCCTTGTACAGGATGAACATCAGTGTAAAAAACAGAAAAAAAGAAGCCTATCACCTCTTCAACAAGAAATACAAAAAAAATTGTTAAATAATACCTTGAATGTTCTAATATTTGAGGAGGGGAGTGCATTTTACATATCATCAAACAGAGTCCCAGTTCAATCATTAAATAAAATTCCATGATAAATCCCTGTTTTCCAGGTTGGATGTGAACCATGTCAAATAAAATGGCTCATAAAAACTCAGCTAGTTCTATTAAGTAACACAATATAAACAAAGTTATACAAAGGGGTGCTGAAAAATTCTTAAAGTAACCCACCAACTTCTCAAAATCTGATTGAACATCAGAATTTTATTTTTTTGAATCTCTTCTTGGACTAACAAAATTTTCAGTACCCCTTTATATATTGTTATATAAAGATCATCTGTAAAAGTATTAATGGACTGAGCTGGCAAAAAGTCTACACTGTCTCCACAATTCATTCAACTCTCATTTAATTAAAATGATTTTTCAAATCATCTTTAATCAAAGAAGTCTGAAACCTTTTTTAAAAGATTGGACAGTTGCTTATTTTACAACAGGTGCCAGTTTTTGTTGTTAGAAACTAGTTTAAATAATTATATTAAATATTCATTTAATTCAAACTAGTTTAAATAATTATATTAAATATTTAAATAATATTATTAAATAAATTTTTAAATAACTTTAATATTAAATTAATATTAAATAAACAAACCAAAGCAAAACCAGAACTTCAAATGCTGACTTTTGAGAAAAACAAAAGGACATCCCAGTTAGAAGATTATGTTGCTCTTTTCACATTGTGCCTTGTACCAGCCTAGGTAAATAGTGTGGAAAGGTTATTTAGTAAGCGTAATTTGAATAAACAAGATTGGTTTGATGTAAAAGCTAAGGACTTGGATAATAGAATCAGTGATCAAAATTTAAATTCCAACCAATTCTGTATTCACTTTATCCTTGGAAGTAAAAATATCCAAAGAACACTAACATAAGAATTCCATCTCTCCTCACTTATGAATAGAATAGTAGAGTGGGGTTCTGTTATGGTAAATTACCCATACACGGATAGACTCTTCCAAGTTCTAAATAAAAACAGGTACTGCTTTTGTCAGAATGTTTTTTTTTCCCAACAGTCAGCTCTGAAAGTTCAGACTTAACATTCTTGCTCATTTGTATATTATTGTATTACTGATTTTCGTTAATATATTTGTTAACTCAAATCCAATCTTGTGCCTTTATTCTAGCCCCAACAAGGCCACAACAGGCTCTTTAGCCTTGGTAGGCCAACCAATCTAGAAGAAAAATAAAAATTCAAAACAATCTGAAAAGGAATGGCCTCTATCAGGTTATGTTGTCATAGTGACAACTGTAGCTGGAGTTGCAGTACAATTGATGCCTCTTTGAC